TGGACTGGCATCCCCATCCAGGGGAGGAGGGCAGTATTATTCCTAGTCACTTTGAACCATGAAAATGAGGATAAGCTTTGACTAGATTGGCTACTTGGCTTGACTACAGACTTCACCTTTCACATGTATACCTTATTTTGGATTTTCAGGTCAACTTGTTTTTGAAAATTTTTCTTCAAACTGTTGAGCCCTGCCTTCGGTTTATTGACGAGTGGGTGACATCAGGTCACGTTCATGATCCATATGATGAGTTTTTTATCGAAAGGTAGGTAGCTCAGTTATTAAGTCTGTGAATCTGCAACTGTGGATCAGGCATACCACTCACTCCAAAGACAAGCAGTGTAGTGAGTATTTTTGTACTTTATGTGACATACTGCACAAATTTTTGGCAACCAAAGTTAAATTTCTGGCAACCATTTTTGTTATCCATGAGTGAGCCCCTTTTTCATTGGAATGATTTTCATTTTCCAGAATACAATCCATTGCCATTGACAATGAGTCCTTTTGGTCTGATGGTGTGGTCCTAAGATGTGCCGATCAATCACTTGACACTGTTGTACCTTGTTTTTTGCAAGATTTTGTTGATCAGGTAATGTCTGGGGTATTAATTGCACCTAGGCACTGATTTGTGATTCTCACTGATTAAGATATTAATACAAATAATGAATATGTTACATTTTGAAATTAAGATTATCACTTTTACTAGACAGCATCACTTATAAAATGTGAATTTTTGTAGTGTTTCACTGCGGTATAAACAAGTTCTTTAGTCATATATCTTACAACTATATTGTTTTTTCATATTGACAGATATTCCGTGCTGGAAAGTCTGTGGAGTTAATTGAAGGCCTTGGAAAGGTATACAGGAGTTAGGATAGAGCTTTATATCTGGTTTTCCTTATTTAGTTTTTAAACGAGATCTTACCATGGCAGGACAGAAACTGCACACACTGTAAGTACCTTTTATTACACGACTCGGGCAGTCAGAGGGCCAATAACTAAAATCAACCAATCAAAATGCTCTATTGCCGGTCAATATTCTCTCAGTATTGGACCAGGCACTGTCCCAAATGGTCCCGAATGATACCGCACTTGTGTCCCTTTGAACTTCAGTCGTATAATAAATCTCTCATCAACCAAGCTTGCTTGGGACCGTATACTGGAAGAATAATGGCCCTTGGTCTTTTTTGTACAGACCTCACTGCGCTCGGTCCGTGCTGTCAAGACCTCAGGCCGATATTCTCCCAGTACGGCCCTCGCGCTTGGTTAATAAGATATAATATCTATCGTCCTTCATAAATTCTTAGAAAAGTTTTCTAATAATTGATGAGTGACAATAGGAGTTACTTACAGTGCACATGCTTTCTGTTAGAGTTCCCAAACCATTACAATGAATGTGAGATAATAACTAATTAAAACCATAATTATTTTCCCTTCTATCAGATTGGTAAACTTCACTCTTTTCGAACAAGAGGTCAGTGACATTAGTGTATTACTTTTGAATTTGTGAACATTTCTGGACAGTGAAATTATACGTATATGAGAACGATCCTTCGCAGTAAAGCACTATTTGAGCAATAGTGAAAATCAGACCTGAAAAAAATTTCAGGCCTGTACGGGACTCGAACCACTGACCTCTGCGATACTAGTGCAGCGCTCTACCAATTGAGCTAACAAGCCAACTGGGAGCAGGCCATCAAATTAATTCGATATAAACCCGTAGATGATAAATCAAACAACAACAAACATATGAAACATATGTGTGAACTGCGGTTATGAGACGTATATGAGAACGATCCTTCGCAGTAAAGCACTATTTGAGCAATAGTGAAAATCAGACCTGAAAAAAATTTCAGGCCTGTACGGGACTCGAACCACTGACCTCTGCGATACTAGTGCAGCGCTCTACCAATTGAGCTAACAAGCCAACTGGGAGCAGGCCATCAAATTAATTCGATATAAACCCGTAGATGATAAATCAAACAACAACAAACATATGAAACATATGTGTGAACTGCGGTTATGAGACGTATATGAGAACGATCCTTCGCAGTAAAGCACTATTTGAGCAATAGTGAAAATCAGACCTGAAAAAAATTTCAGGCCTGTACGGGANTCCCGTACAGGCCTGAAATTTTTTTCAGGTCTGATTTTCACTATTGCTCAAATAGTGCTTTACTGCGAAGGATCGTTCTCATATACGTCTCATAACCGCAGTTCACACATATGTTTCATATGTTTGTTGTTGAGTGAAATTATAGTTGTATTATTATAAATTAGAATGTTATGATAAATCCCAGCAAACTTTAAAATGGCATATGCTTACTCAAGGAAATCTTAATCTATTAACTTCATGCAACTGTTGTGACATTCATTAACTTCATGAAATCAGCTGATATAATTTCAGTTTTTAAGAAACTGCTTCCGTTGCAGACGATAGGCTTGTAAATATTTAGTAAATAAACCCCTTCGGCCGCCTGGTATGTCGACTGATAATGTCTGCGGCAGGGAGATTGTCTGAAAAATGAATATTTGGCCGAGAAGCGAAGCTTCGAGGGCAAATATGAAATTTTGAGGACAATCTCTCAGCCAAGGACATTATCAGCCGACATACCAGCAAGCCAGAACAGGGTTTATTTATTTTATAACCCTCCCATTCATTTTTCACATCGCAATTAAACTGCACGTAAACACAGTAAAAAAGCCAGTGGTGATCTGGTGGCGAATGTGCGTGGTTGACGCAAGCAAGCAAGCAAAAAAAAAAAAAAACCAGTTTGGTTTCCTTCTATGTAAATAGGAGAACGGAAAAATTGAAACTCTTGTGTTGACTACGTTTCTTTTTCACAGAAAAAATCGGAGGACAAATATTGACGCGGACAGGGGTTGTTGCGTGGTAACTGTCCTGTGATTTTGCACCACGCGACATAAAGTAACCAATAAAATCGCACCAAAATTAATGGGTGGGGTTATAATTCATGATTACCACCTCATCTGACTCCCCTGCATGTCACGAAGAGGCACAGCCTCTTATAATATTTTTCCTTTTTCAGCAAAATCATTCACTGGAATTTGATTTTTTTCTTTTTTTTTTTTATCTTTTTTTTATATATAGGGCCTTTGCACCAAGAGTTTTTAGATAAACTGCTAAGTGCTCTATCAAATAATTCTAGTGAGTAAAAAAGAAAAACTGTTTATTGTGTTATTTGTTATGTCATGACACTTAATGTCATCTTGTGTCATGTTATGGTGACTTATGTTGTCCTCTTTAAGGTTACGTAACAGATTCATATAATCACATATTGAAGATAGTTTGCTGCATCTCCCATTTTTTTGTCATGACATGTTCTTTAACTTGCAGAAGCATCAAAGGAAGTAGAAAATTCATCCGGTGATGAAACAAATCTCTTGAAAACCATAACAGATTCTAACCAAATCATGTCAGTTATAGAAGATACTGGTGACCATGTACTGAAGCTCGCATTTGTGGAAACCGAAGCACCAGTTAACCAGAGATATTCCATGCGAGAAAGGTATACTTTTGATCAATGTATTATGACGGATATTCTTTTGAATCATTATGTTTGTATTCATTTGTATACCGTTTATGTAAAGGGCTGAATGCCATTTAAGGCATAGACTATGTTTTGAGTTTTCCTCTATGTCAATTTTTATAACTGTACTGTAAATACTGTAAGGGTGAGTGCTTATTGGCAGGGGAAATTATGGCAAGTTCCAAATTTTTTAGTTATTCTTTGTCGGTCAGAATGCTTCCAGCCATTCAGCAGACTTGATGTTCAGCATGCATGTGTAGGGTGTTTGGAAGTTTTCGGTGGAAACCCTCATTTTAACTGGTAGTTATGTTAATTTTATGTTGCAGCTCTACAGCAGATAAACTGGACAGGATTTGTTCAGGTGATTCCTCAATGCTCGTGACAGGGAGGCCCATTTTTCCCCTACTTTTTGTTAATAATTTGTGATCAGTAAACTGTAAGTAGTAACTTTCTTGAAACCCTTTTTACATTCCACCAAAAAACATATACAGTCGAATCTCGATTATCTGGACTGTTTGATTATCTGGACTTTCTTCTCTGGTCCCAATTTTTTCATGAATACTAATTAGTTGTGATCTTGAAAACTCAGAGTCACAAAAAGCCCAATAATTCTCTCAAAAGACTGTTGAAACAGTGTATTATCCTGTGCGCTTTTCAAAATTCACAAGTGCGACGAGACAAATATTCTGATGCATTATCTTTAAATACATACAGGCTGTGTAGATATCACAATTAAAATGATGTTTTCTTTGCTGTATATGTTGTAGTTCAATTTTTTCTTTGGTTTAATTTTTTTTAAACTGGTTTAAAAATTTTAATCTGGTAAATAGAATTTTCAAACTGGTTTAAAATTTTTAAGCACACAGCTCATTCTTATTTATTTGATGTTTTACATGTGAAATGTACTCTGTATGAAATAAAGTTGTGTTTTTAAGGTGTCCACATTTTAGCAAATGTTCATTTTACTGGTTGGGCACTCTTTCAATCTCTACCAGGTGCATGTTTACCTAGCCAACCAAATGCCATGTTGCTTTGCTTATACCTTAAAAAGAATATATAATTTATGTATTAAATAGCTTTTTAGAGCCTCTACATTTCAAAAAGAATATTTTGTGAGGGAGCATGCCCAGAGACCCTGGGAAAAAAAGCTTTTGAATTGTCAGTCAGCCACTCCTTGACTTATTGAGAACCACAATGTGTATTTAAAGTAATGAAAAGTTTGAAATCACTGTTGAAGTTCATTTACATTTAGGGATTTGCAAGTTGCTCAAACCTGTTGAGCTGCTGTTTTCAGAATGCCTTACTCCTCTGCTAGAAGATTGGTGTACACAGGTTAGTGGAAGTTACTTGTGGTAGAGGAACATATTGAAAGAAACTTCAAATTGTTGTTGTTTTATAATTTAGCTAATTTCATTTACCGGTTTGTTATTTTTTTTAAGGGAAGCTGTTTTGTCGTTCAACTGTTGAAAACAGATTTTTGTCTTCTGGATCATTTAGCAGCTATGAGGGTTGGTAAAATATAATTTTCTGTGGAAATTTTGTTGTGTATTGGAGTTAACTGCCCATCAAATAATGATTTTTGTTTTTAATATTTTGTAGAATTTCTTTCTCTTGGAGGCTGGTGATGCAATGCATCAATTTTACATTGAGATATTTGACAAGGTAATTAAAAGCATTAGATGCAACTTCAGAACCACGTGCAATGTTTTAATTTTTTCTTGCTTGCATAACTCTTTAACTTCCAAGAGTGACTAGCATCTAATTTCCTCCTTCAATATCACTTCTTTATTACACGACTTGGGCAGTCAGAGGGCCAATAACTAGAATTGACCAATCAAAATGCTCTATTGCTGGTCAATAATTATTCTCTCATTATTACATGACTCGGGCAATCAGAGGGCCAATAACTAAAATCAACCAATCAAAATGCTCTATTTCTGGTCAATATTCTCTCATTATTACACGACTC